GCACATATACATATATTAGTTTACACCCTTGTTCCTTTTCTAATAAAATGCCTTAACAAGGCAAATGCATTAATTACTGTTTCAAGACGACTTTTCGGCGTTTACTTTGACTTTGGACTTCCTGACCTTGACCTTTAAGTTTAACCTACAGTTTTTTTAATATCTTCTACATCAGATTCTTTTGAATGAGAAAAACATGGCTTTTCCTACCTTTGGCCACAGTCGCCCGCGTGGTATAGTGGTAAGAACATTTGCACAAGAGCTTAAATGCTGAGAACGGGTCCAAATGTTGCAGCCCTCTTCTTGCAAGTAGTTATATATATCAATATGAGTCGAAAATTCTCTCAGAGACTTTAAATAACAAACAAACTTTTCAGAAAGGCATATCATGGTTTACTTCTTGATCTTGCCTTAAAAATGTTAGCTACTAGTAATAAAAAACGTTATAAAAAACGAGACAAAGCTTTTTTTTAAAAGTACATGTTCATTACTTGTGGACAGACTGTTCCTATTGTTAACTGATATTTTTATCATGACCTTGATCTTGGAGTTTAATGCCGCTTTGAAAGGCTCTCTTTTTTATTTATAATTCAATAATTTATATCTTTAAGTGGCACTTCAAATATCAAATTAGGAAAGAATAAGAATTTCCTTTTAAATGGACACCCTATATTTTTTTTACACCTTTTGTTCAACAACAACTTAAATATTCCATTTCGTTTGTTTTGTAAGATTATGTTGTACAGTCATTTTAAATACTCAGTAATGCTATATCAGAATGTTTCTCACACCATTTTTTTTAAATTCGATGACAAGATGTATTAATAAATTATTGATTTTATTAAAACACTATGTATCAAAAACGACATTCAATACCATCAGTCTTTACAACATTTTATTATTTTTTTAATCACATGATGCATGAAAATTAAAGAACAAATTAACTCAGAGATACTGTAATTTTATATTTTATAAAATTTATGCTTCGGTGCAGTCTATATTCAAGAAAACTGAGGCAGAGATGTTTACTACTTCATATAGATGTATATACACAACATATAAAATCAATGTACAATGTAAGCATAAAGAGCTTATTACAAATATTATAAGAGAAAACCGGAGAAAGTTGTTATTGGGCCACTACTGTAATAACCTGTACCAGAGTAATGTCTGATCCACACTGCGTCACCCTTCTGAACATTCAGCACCACCAGATTGGGACCCGCGTCGTGAGAATCACCGGAATAATAGGCCATAGTTCTGGCTTTTGTAGATCCATTCAGCACAATGTCTACATAAATATTACTTCCATTATCCTGAACATTTACAAAGAAGACGTACATCCCGGCGATGGGAGCAGTAAATATTCCGTTACTTGGATTGTATCCATTTCCTTCATTGGTGATAACCGAAGGAAATACCAGTGTTCCACTGTTCCATGAAGAGCTGTATGAGGTCACTGAGGCAGAAAATCCCACTCTTTTTGTCTTACCTACAAGCATAATTTCGTTTTCAATTTATCATATTGAAAAAGGAGATGTGCATGGGGAATAATTATGCATGAATGATAAATCAAAACTTGAAATCTTAGGTTTTACATTCAATTGAATCTAAATAATGCATAATACCCAAAAAAAAACACTTCATATTTTTGCAGACAGCAAAATGAAGATTAAAAACGAAAAGAGATTTTGAAGATCTAGATCGCAAAGAGCGACCTCGACTTTAAGTGTTAACATCTCTTATTGTTCTTTTATTTATTTTAAGTTATTACCTAAAATGTTATTCGTCACATTCATTCGGAACACCTCGAGAGAGGACACAGTTGAAGACAGCTGCAGTTGCTCATACTTAGATTGTTTCAGTTCCGCCATCAGGCCCTCTAATGTTTTACTGATGTTCACTGAAATCAAAATATAAGAAGAAAAATTTGTTTTCGAAATATAAAGATATATCGTGTAAGTTTTCAGATGATTTACTTTGCAAATTTTCTATGCGGTATATATAAAATTATTTTATCACCACCAGATCTAATGAATGACGATTAAATAGAAGTAATTTTTGTAAGTTGTTTAATTTTCATAGATTTCAAGGTTTGGAGAGACCCTCGGATTTATGACCACAACGAAATGTAAAATTTAATATGCATTACTGCTAAACAGTTTCCATCCACGAAATTAAATCCCCACAGACCAATATTTTTCCTCAAACTTCAAAATTTGATCCCATGAAAATATTTAATAGTAACCTTAAAAGAAGCTTTTGTTCGATACAGATTTTTTTTTAATATCAAAACAAACCATTTAAGTAGACATTTTATATCAAATACTCAGTAAGCTTGCCTTTAAATATAAGTAAATTTTCATAATATTATAATTATAATGAATAATTGTTAAAGGTATTTCTGAGGAGAAAAAACTGCATATACATATTGCCTTGTGACTTCAGTAACATATTTATGAGTAATTTGAATGAATTAACTGCTGATTTGTAAAACCCTATGAACGTCTTACATCAAAACATTGACAGATTCTGCATTTATTAATTAACTGCTGATTTGTAAAACCCTATGAACGTCTTACATCAAAACATTGACAGATTCTGCATTTATTGATATATACATTTACTAATAAAAGTTTTCGCTCAGTGATAATCGAATTGTTCAAAAATAATGTACTCAATAGGAAATCCGTTTCTGAAACTGAAACACTGAAGGAACATCATTCTCAAGAGACCATATTCCTGTAAAATGTGCCCTATGCGCAATTCCTTCTACCAGTAAGATGCAATACTCTTTATTAGAGCTCATACAAAGTAATAAAAATAATGAACTTACCAGATATAGAATCTTGTATGATATTTTGTGAGTTTTCGAGGTCAGACACTGATTTTGATATTGTGTAATTTGTTGTAAGTATATCATTGTTCAAGTTCTCCACAGAAGTGTTCAGTCTCAAAGATATTTGTTCATATTTCTCCTGCATCATTTCAGGAAATTTCTTGTCAATTTCCAAAGTGTGTTTATTTAAGTCCAGAAGAGTTACTGACAGGTACCGAACTTCCACTTTGAGATCCGCCAGGACTGCACTAGTGTTTGTCTCAAAACGTTCTCTTTTCTCTTCCAGTTGTTCCACAACCTGTTGAATGTGTTCGTCGACTTTGGTGAAATTTTCTGTAACAACTCTGAAAGTTTCTTCATAGCGCCTGTTTTCAAGTTCAAGTCTTTGGTTTTCTCTTTTCAGTTTCTCAACCTCCTGTTTTAAGGCGGCCACTTCTACGTCTGTTTTCTGCTGGGATGTTTCCAGTGTCTCCATAATTTTCTTCAGATCCAGCATGTCCTTCATTAAGGCGTGTACGTTCTTCACCAGTGACATTCTAATGATTGTTTCTTGGTTCAGTAACTGTCGGAAGACGTCCGTATTTTTGGATTCCGGATCACTGATGTCCAGTAAAGATGAACTGTTGTCGCTGTTTTCCGTGAATATGGACAATCCATTTATTTGTATGAGAAAAGCAAACAATAACGTAAACAGCAGTGATTGCTTCATGTTGAAAATCAGAGAAGTGATAGCGATCCATGTGAATATTGAGCCTTATATACATTTGCATATAAACTTTGACCTTTACTATTGCATGACACATGTTCAAGATGCAAATTCGTTAAAACATGAGTTGGCAAATATCACAACTTTTTGCAACTTTTATTGACTTAAGTTAACTTCTTCTTTTTTATTTTTCTCTTTTTTTATAATAAAGTTAAAATAAATACTTCTAGAAGGAAAATCCAGTTAAAGAGTAGTTGAAATGTACGTTTATGCCAATAGAAAAAGCATCTACACGTATTACGATTTTTAACTATTAACAATGTTTTTATTTTTATTGTTTTTTTTCATATTTTTTTTTTATTTTGGTAATGGGGTGAGGATGGGTGTCTTTTTATTTCATAGACAAAAGGAAATATATGACTGCTTTTTTATTCATTGTTTTAGCTTTATACTTTTAACATTTGAAAAACGTGTACATCCAGGTTGAGGTGCTTATGGAAAAAAATAATGCCTTAAAATGAATTGCCAATAACCGTTTTACATAGACCGTGACATTTTTGATAAATTTTAATTTGTAATCTCTTTTCAAGCCTTCTATATAAACGTTCATGTATTCTTCACTACTGTAAAAACATTGAATTACACATTGTCGACAACATTCAGTTGAGGATACATATCATTCTTATAATTTTGCCTTTGTTCATGATTTGATCTTTACAAATATTCCATTTATACTTTTCTTAATTACTACAATCCTCTTCACTCCTTTAGCACGATCCTTTTTTTAGTTAAGAAAAGCATTAAAAAGACAGTTATAAAGTGGACATTTAGACAGTGTAGGGAAGAACCCAACCGCTTCATTGTGTAAATAATGGCCTTACAATTAGTATGTAAAAGTTACCTGGGTATTCATTATTTAATGACTGTTGAATCTTTCATCAACATATTTGTCAATAACTTACCCCCTTTTTAAAAAATGTTAATATGTAGAGCATTTTCTTGCATATCGATCAACGGAGGGACACTAATCCCATATGCATGTAATAAGGATATATTGCTACATATGTAAGAAAGTTGACGATTGAAAAGTTAAAGTCATCATGTTTGCAATAAGGCGTTGTTGTTAGCTGATCATTGACGTCTTTTAGTAGTAAAATATGCAAATAATAACATATATGTCAGACTCTTTGTATCTTTTATTCCTTTCATATAGATTTTCTTAGTAAATTCTGCTTCATATCAATTCAAAAATAAGCCTAGATCTGCTAAAAATTGAGCGCAGTTGATACTCATGGGAATTTCTATAAATTGCTAGAAGACCTGATCTCCAAAAAACTTCACAGATATCGACAATCAGCAACTCAAGTACTTTTTTAATATAAGATACCGAGTACCTAAGTGTACAATTACTGTGATTTTAACAAAATAATTTTGCAAATAGCCAATGACAAGGTTATTATATTTACGAGTTCCATTTTATTGAAAAAGCAATCTATCAAACAGATCTGTAAGTATTCAGGTTTGTCTCGTAGAACATTCAGTCTTTAATATTTAACTTTCAAAATTCGTATATCTCCTTAATTTTTCCATATAAAGTACAAAATTGATCATTTTTCATGAACTAGCATATCTCGCTGCTGACTTGGTGAGAACTGAATATTTTTATTCTTTAAAATATATACTTCATTGACATAAAATTGTGGCAAGTTATACAATGTATAAGTAATTTAAATATCAGATATGAATTTCATTTCTGAAACTTCATGAGGAACATGGAATACAAAGCTCTTCGTGAAATATGCAGGCAAGAAGCGTCTTAGTTCATGTTCTCTGGTTTTTCAATACTGAAATTTCTTAATCAACGAGCGAGTCCTTAGTTTAACATTATTTATGCACACATTCTATGCTTCGTCGCCAACCAAATTAATAAGCCAAGATTAGATGACATTGAAAAATCTATACTCGTAGTACTTTTTGTACTGCAAACTTGCTCTTTCAAGTTCTGACAAATGTCCTTTCTCTACTGAGGACAGATTAAATTCTGTTAAAAGTTTCTGATATTCCAAAACATAATTTCATTAAACAAGAAAACCGGAAAACGTTGTAATGGGTATTCCCTCGCTGTAATGATTTGACCCACTTTGACATCTTGCCCACACTCTGTCCTCTTGTTGGAGATTCAGAGTCACCAGGTTGGATCCAGAATCGTAGAAATCTTTACCTCTTCCTCCGTCTGACATTGTCATTACCTTGGCTCCTCCGTTATGTACAATAGATACATACAATGTGTCATTGCTATACACCTGAGCACTGACATAGAAAACATACTGTCCGACCGTGGGGGCAGTAAAGATCCCTGTACCAGGGTTGTACCCACCTCCAACGTAATTGATGTCCACAGGAAACACTAGTGTACTTCCGCTTGCGATAACTCCATGACCTGTGGTACCAGCTGAAAAAGCAACTTTCTTTGACGAGTCTAAAAGAATGAAATGCTTTTGAGGCAGTTTTCGTATAGCGAAATCAGTGTGATGAAAAAAAATTACTGTATTTCACTTCAAAGAAGTGTTTATAAGAAATCCGAGATAATTGTTTCAATGCGAATTTCATGTTGAAGGGTTGTTCAATAAGATACGATTCTTACAATAGTACCCCTGATTTATAGGATTTGATTCATACATTAAACACAATCTGTCTATCATTTCAATTTTTTGATTAATATACTGCATTGATCTTCAAACATTTACTGATGGATATTCATTTTCATTGATGACGAGCTCAAGTTACATTTTATGCTGATTACCGTATATACTCTCCTATAAGTCGGTTGTATTTTTTAGTTTATTTTGGAGGGATTTGCCATTGACCCGTTTATAAGTCAATACAATTTTCTGCCAGAATAAGTTGACAATTTTAAATCAATGCATTGATGTTTTAGCCTGGTTTTAATTAATACCTTATATAACTCGCTCAAAAGTCGGACATAGACTTTGAAACAACATTTAACAAAAAAAACGACTTATAGGTGAGTACGAGGGGTTATCAAAACGTTCGTTGGCTGAGGCTATAAAATTAATACTATGTATAGTCTGTGCTTTTAAGATTTATAAACAATTAAAAAAAAGAAGAAATGTTGAAATTTTGAGCGTGATATGTTCATTATTTGCCAAATTATCATGAAATAAAAACGACATAATATGATCACCTAGTGCCGTCGCCGTTTAGTTTCGACATTGGTTTTCAATATCCGCTTCTTCTACCTCATACACTTATTTTAATGAGATTCCCCGGAGCTAAATAAGGACTTAAATCCATCTTTTTATATGATTTTACAATGTCATGAACAGTGGCTTTCAATATAATATATTACATATTGCAAATGAATTTATACATTGGGAGAGATCCTCGCATAATTGTGTAAACACTTTTGCATCCCTTTTCTCCCTGACTCTCTTTTGGCAATAAAAAACAAGTACTCTGGATGTATTTTATTTCTCCGTAACCAGTTAAAACATTTACTAATTTTCGTGATGTAATAAAAATATAATTAATTTTGTTCTTTCTCAGTTATTGTTTTATATTTACTGATTAAGCCATAATTTTTCATATAAAGTAATTGATAATTTAGTGTGTATTTATCAAATCTTAAGTGAGAACTGAGCACTGAACAAATCATATGTTTCCATTATATCGAGTCAATAACTGTATATTACCATGGGGATTATCGCGTATCATCGTGCCATCACTTCATCGACTTCGCGCCATCGCACCATCGCTTCATCGTTATGGCATTATTGTGTCATCGCATTATTGACCCAAACCTCGATTGTGCGATGATGCGATCGTGATATACGTGGCCCTATCCGGATTCCTTAAATTACTCTTGTTTGCCAATACTGCAACCAAAAGTGGAGGGGGGAGGGGGAGGGGGGGGAACTGGTCTTTTAGTGAACCTTTCCTGTAGAAAAAAATAAGTGGGAGAGGCCAGGCCCCTTGGCCCCCCTGATGCTACGAGGCCATGTAAAGATAGTTTTTATAATGTTTACCGGCATAAGTTTTGTGAATCAAGGTTGCAAAATAATATGATAAACAGCAGCTTTTTCTACCCAACCGAAGGGGTTTGACATGCTACTGTCTCTGTTTCACAATGGTGGTAAATTTGCTGTATGACCCTGTGTTAGTATCGACCCTTACTCTGGAGAAGCTGTCTTTCCCTTTCTGACTATACAAAGAGTTTCAAATAAATTGGAAAATGTTTCCTCAATGTTTTTCTGTCATCATTTACCTGTTTATTTGACCTCGTGATATACATTGTTCTTGTAAATCCAATTTCCCGTACTATCTTTTAATAGTTAAATAGTATGTTATGCAGAGCTGAACATGGAAAAACAATAGGTATTCTGACTACTGACTAGGTCGATTTTTATTATCATCATCTTCTTTTCTTCTTGATTTTATTTTCCTTGCTGTTTTTCTGGAGAGAAGTCATGTTTAGTTGTCAGTCTGCCATACAAGTTTTTCTATAGTTAAACACGAAACATGAAACAAATGTCAAACTCTGTGATGTCTTTCATTTCGAGTTCAATGAGAGGAATTTTATACATCTCGGCATAATGCCACCTCGTCATGACAGGTCGGCCAAGATTTGAGACTATATGAAACCTCAGCCCAAGTAAAATATTACATATGTACAATCCCTGATGTCACTTTTATCAATGATTGGTGCTGTGTCAAATTATGATTCTCAGTTATTTTAATAAATGAATAAAAGAATTGAAAGAAATCTTTGTTGCAAGCAAGACAGTATACAAATAATTTTAGCTCTCAAGTGCTATTTGGCGACTAAAACATACAAAAGCTAAGTATCAAATAATTATTCCAAGAGACACATAAAAAGAGTAAATTTCTAAAACATGTATTAAAAATGAACTAATATTTTACGATAGCAAAATTTGTTGAATTAACAACAAATTTGTTTAAAATGTTTATGCTAGTCTTAAAAGTGATAAAATACCAACTGGTATTAAATAAATGATAAAAACTTCTGTTCGTTAGGTTTGTAATATTTTAAAACATTATATCTGAACTGATAAGCTTTTAGCAATTCCTTCTGAAGACATCTTTAAAATAAATTTAAAATAAAACTATTTCCTTTACTTTTCACCTTACATTTATCATGTAGATAGTTTCTTTTCCAAATTTAATAGTTAAATGTAAAATCAAATGAATAATGAAGATTATCAATATTTTAAATGAATAGTATGAATTTCATGGGGGTTAAATTTTTGTGATTTTCGAGTCATTAATTAAGAGACACACAAGTTTATGTCTTACAAGAAATGTAATTCACA